TAACTTGAAATATTATTATTTCAGTTTATGAATTTGTATCCCTATAGTGCTTTCATCCTGCTCCAGATAATATGGATCAAAGTACTGTCTTTTGTGGCCCAATATAAAAGCTAACATCAAAATGACAGGATATTAGTGTGATCAGTTGTGAATGTTTGGCCCATGACATGAGTTTTCTCTGCACACTATTCAGCACACGGCCTTTATCTTCATTATCCTCAGGCTGACAATGCAACAAAACCTGTACAATCAATATGAACCATCTCTTTGTGTGTGGACAGTGAGACACCTCCATGAATACATTAGCGCCACATGGAGAAGAAGATGCCGATCCTCTGCGCTGCAGTGGTTTTCAAACTGTGGTGACTCATAAAGGTCTAGATTACAAACTTGTTTGTACCTTATCTTTTGCATATTTGGTGGGTATTTGCATGGTTTTCAGAATGATAAAAATGTGGCTGTTGGCATATCAATTACCAGCTTAAAACAAAATATTGTATCTTCTGAATGGGAAAAAGTTGCCAAAATGTTGCATATAACTAGCCCCATGAATAAACTATTTTGCCCATTCAGCAGGATACTTTGTTGGATTGGCACTGGTTTTATCCTGCCTAGGTTCTGTTCAGGTTTAGAAAGATAAATCATCTAAACAGTCTTGATAGAGAGCTTTGTTTTGGTTCTGTTCCTGTTTTATTCATCATAAATTATAATGACACGAAGATGAACTTTGCAATGCCAATGGTTTCTGAGGTTGGACTTAGAAGAACCATTTTAATCCAGTTAGGTAAAACTTGTAGACCCACTAACAAACTTGGAAAACAAATATGATTAATTATCTTTAAATAGTTAAAGATTATCACCAGCTGAATTACTATAGGCCTATTACTCAGCTCAATTGAGTTGTCGCTATAAATGGTAGTCAACATTCAAATTTGATTTCAAAAGTGAATACTGCAAATATTGAATAGATGACAACATCAGTGAATTGTCTACTCTCTGAGATAATCTCCAAATCCTAAAATTTTTATTACACAAATAAAACTAAATCTGCATCACCAAAATTTCATTTTCATCAGTATTATTTATTGCATTTTGTTACATAAGTCAGCTACCCAGCTTGCAACATCAATAACCTATGTAAAATAAAAAGAAAATATTATTATGACACCAAACTGAGAATATATTTAAGGAACCCACATTGCATTGTCAGTATAGCATGTTAGATACATATTTACACAGACTGCTTTGAGCGGTAATAAAACTATTTCCTGTACAGTCAATAACATCCCGCTCTCCTTATATGTCTTCTATTAATAACATGTAAGTACAATATGTTTGACAGGCCGGGCATGATGATGGATAGTGCAGTTATTCAGTCATTCAGGGGTTAACTATAGGCTGCACATGGGGCTTTATAGAGCTGTGACATGGGGACTGCTCGTCCCTCCTCCGCCTGTTTATTGAATTACACATCAGTACAACCGCTGGCTCTTTTTTCATCTCCTCTTAATTTGATCAGAGAATCTGCTGATGCTGTGTGTGCCCCACTCATGTGAAATTCATTTGACTCTACACATCTTCAAACTCTGCTGTCTTTTCTTAATCCACACACACACACACATCCATAGAAACAGAAAGGGTGCAGTGTGGCCAGAAAGAGGGAGACATATGTTAGCATGGGGATATCGGTCACTTTATGAGCTAAACAGAATAAAATAGTAAAAATAATGTTATTGTGCTTGAGGTTAAAATGCTTGTTTGTTTACACCACAAGTTTACAGGCAACTTAGGTTTACCAAGTGTTAACCACATCCTGGAGCAACCCAGGTTTTAGCTAAGGCAAATTACTCAAACTTGTTATTTTAACACCAAAGTACTGAACACTAGATCTAACAATATCAATCAATTTGCAATGAAAAAAAAAAACAACTTACTACTTTACTCATTTGTTTCATTTATTATCATTAATTCAAACAATATTTTAGCAATGCATCAGGAATGTGCTAAAATGTACTTATATGGCAGGTCTTGGTTGAGATTCAGACAACGTGATCTTACAAATTAGGACAATAGCAAGTGTAAGAAAAATTAAATTAAAATGAAAAGTTTTGCTGTAGATCCTACCTGGATGATAGCAAGTGTAATGCAGTTGCACCGATGTAGATAAATAAATACTGTGGCTATTATGATAATTTTATAAAAGTCACCAAGTATACTGTGAACCACAATGGACACCTGGGGTTTAAGGGGAGGTGCTGAAACTTTAGCACCAATGCAAAATATTCTAAAAGTGATTAATAATAGGAAAATGCAATTACATCAATGATGTGCCAGTTTAGATGGGAAACCCAAAAGCACATAGAAAGGTTGATCTTAATAATAAATACATCTACTCACATGTATAGGATTCATTTAATTGCCATTCATCATTCTAAATGTAATGTCATGCAGTACATCTTATGACAGTGTTTGTACAGAAAAGCTTGAAGCAGAGTGGACAGTGGACAGCACTCAAAATAGACTTATTAAGCCTTAGCAGGGATGGGACAGGCTTGCTTCAGTGACTATGAATTCTTAACATTCCTTTAATTATGTAAAACTTTCAACAATATCTGAACTGCATGTCATTCTCAGAAAGATGTATTGTCTGAGGAACAATTATCTAATGAGACATAGATTGCACAGGAGTCTTTATTTCGGCACAAATACATTTTAGAAGTAAAAGTCCCTGCATAACAACAATTTAGAATACTGTATCTTTCCATTGTGGTTTATGCCTGCAGCTTGACCCATGAGCTTAAATCAATATGGCTACAAAAGACCTAAAGCACTTCTTCATGCATTAGAAAGTTCTAGAGACATTGATGGGCCAAAGAGCAGACGGACAGGAGCATGGTGCCAACACAAACTTCACCTCCACCCTTCTCCACTGGATACCTGCTGGAAGTCCCCCAGACAGGGCCTTTTAGCGTGGGGGCGGGCAGGCTTTTAGGGCGCCCTCACGCCATGGCGAAGTGATGTGTATCAGTGACAGCTGAGCCCTGGCCTGCAGCTCTCACTGTGGTTTACATTAGACATGAAGGAGCAGGGCCCGTCACTCTGATGGGTTACCTATAGTACATGTCTCAAATACCAGGACTGAAATGTGTAGCTTTACAACAGAAATAAATAAGGCTTGTACTTACTTCTTTGTCTTCTATATGTTGAATCTTCAGATAGTTTTAACAGAAGTAGATAGCTTATTTATGCATGTTGTTTTTTACACAATAAAAGAAATAAAGCTGGATCAACAAAGGATAATGTTAAATTAACAACAACCTTGTAATTTGCAAAAATGATAATGGGCACAGCTTTGGAATGCAGTAGAGGAAATAATTAGAGTCATCAGATCAGTAAACAATGGTGTATATTGTTATACATTATCCAATGCTTTAAAATGTTAAATCTTTGTTAGAAGCCATTTCAAAGTTACATGTATGGCCAGGCTGATAAATGAAACAATTTATGCAGACAATGTAAATTATTTTACCACTGTAAATAAGTATTTGAGATGCAACAGGGCTTTTCTCTGATACAGCTGTACCGGGCCTATATCTCTGCAGTGCGCAAAAGTCCCGTTCTCGTACCTGTGCGCGTGCACTTATAACCTTTTCTTCAGTGCTACACGTGGCCTGTTATAATAATCCTTCTAGAACCAAAGTATGCTTCTTCACAAAGGCGTTTACAGCAGCGGGTTAGACGCACAGCGTGGGATTAACATGAGTTTAGTGCGCTCTAATGATTGGGCCGGGCCTTATTTGGAAAGGTTTGAGAATTACGCGCTAGTTATTAGGCCATTAGGCTATTAGTTTTAAATGGAATGGAAATAGAATACAAGTATACACTCTACATTTCATTTACTTCTAATTAATAAACTCACATTTATTTCTAAGATAGAATAGGTGTAGAAAACTGTGTCAAAATAACTGATTAAAATGACTTAATTTACATAATTTAAATGTACACACCTACCAATTATTTATTTAAATACGATTATAATTAGTACAGAAAATTCTATAGAGTATAGTATATTTTTAGATCTTGGTCAAGCATTGAAGATAGTTGCCTATACGGATTTCTTTGTTATTGTTTGCTGATAAATTCATTACTCCCAAATGTCATTAAAACCGCAGAAGAGCATAATTTAATAGGGGCTATTTAGGTTGAGTGAGACAGAATAATGCGCAACTTGTCTCATTCAGTGTGCAACGACTTTGAAACAGCATTAATTTTATTTAACTCGGACTTTGTAGGATTAATTGTGTCTCTCCAGAGAAGCATGGTAAATGTGAAAGTTGTTCGGATACATTAAGTAATTTAATATCAACGAACTATTTCTCAAATTGTATTCTACTCTAAGATATAGCCTATATATAGATTATTACTATAGTTTTGTTTTGTTTTGTTTTGTTTTTTTTTTTTATTGCATTGATGGACGTCTCACCTTTTTCCTATTTGAAATGTATTTCAGGATTCTTCCAAACGCAAAATACTCTCTAAAAGTTGAAGCCGTGTGGGTCTGTCGCAGCTTGAATCAAAGGCGCTGTATTCAGATCTAATTACATTAATGTCATGTGTTGTGTCCTCCTTGTGAGCTCGTCCTCCCATTCCTACTGACTGCATAATAGCGTGAGTGAAGCAGAGAGGGCCTGCATCAGAGCGCGCGCAGAGCCAATGTCACAGTGTGTCCAGAGCGCACCTCAGTGTGGAGCAGGGCACAGCTCACAGACTCTCTTTACCCCACTAAACCTTCAGGGGGCTTTTAGCATTTGTTCAGTCTCTGGAAAACATCTGATTCATTCTTAACCAGATCCAGATGCTGAGCCGTGAGAGCGTGCGTGCGTGAGGGGTGCGTCAGTGAGCGCCTGTCAAAGCGGCAGAGTTTGGGGATCTGAAGTCTGCTCTCTGAGGGGAGGGAAGCGAGCCCAGTGGATTTTTTTCCCCCTAAAATCACTTTAGGTATGAACGCAGATACGTGCGTCTCATACTGCGATATGACATCGATGGATTCATATTATAGTGCGTCTACTGCGCCAGCGAGGGACCACCAAACCAACCCATTCAGGACTTTTCCCAGCACCGAGACGAAGTACAGCCCAACGTACCTCTCCGGCGCCAAGGGCCCGGCGTACGGAGAGAAATCCCGCAGCCCATTCCAGCCGGAGTGCGTGGCGCTGGACGGCGCCGAGGACGGTACGTTCAAGTATCAGCTCTTCATGCAGAGACCCGGCTGCAAGACACCGCCAGAAGGAGGCAAACTCCACGCGGAGAATGCGCACAACGGCACGCTCATGACCTGCTACGGTGAGTCTCTGCCCGAGAACGCAAAATCTGAATGTGCCTTGAGTGTAGAGGGGAGCGTGAATCTTAACATTTAGAAGTTTTGAATGTGAACAGGAACAAGAATAAGGCTACATGAATCACAGTGTTGTAATAAACTAAATGCCTGAATGATTTTCAATAGGCCAAATAAAAATCAATGAGTGAGCATATACGGAAAGATAGATGGTTTTTAATTTAATTATTTTTTTTAAATATATTGATCTACACATGAAAATTGTTTAGGTAGGCAAATTTTTCACACACAAAATATGAGCGGTGCAGAGTGACGGGCCATACTGTGCTACTTATAATTATAATTTAGCCTCATTGTCAAGGCTATTTCTGCCACAGTTAGGTTACTGGAATCAACAGGCATTATGCTTATTCAAAAGGAATCAATTCTTTCCATATAAAATAAATTCGTTTTCTTTAAATATATTAGGCCTAATCATAAAATATAGCATTGCCTATTTTATTTACAAAATTAGATCTAAAATGTGTGTGTATTACAATAGCCAATTGTATTCAAACAACAATTTCATTGGTCGTTTTACTTTTACTTTTACGATGAGAAAAGGATCTCCAGTGAGCCGATCTTGACAGGTAGCCTATTGCATTTTAAATGTATTACACTTCAACACGCGCAAAATTGCAATTCTGTGGTAGAGCTGTTTTAACTTAGTTTATTAAAACGTACGATTTTCATTATTTAAAAAAAAAAAAAAAAGTAAAACTATAAAACTCAAAAATTTGGGGTTGGAAGAAAAGTCAGGCATAATTGTTAAATAAATATATAAATAGCCTATGGCGGATTAAGTCTGATATAATCATATTGTCACCGATATGGGCCATACAAGGGTACTAAGAAATTGCTTGTGTGTAGTTATGCGACCGTTGCGCGTCTACAGCTTGCCAAATAGAGTAAATAAACGCTAAAATCTGAATAAGAAATGACTGGAGTCTCGCGCTGTCACATATTTCTTGTCTGATTTTGAAACCCTCAAACAAATGTGATTGGTTTGGAGGTCCATTGGTTTGGCTGACTGAAGCGCAGTGACAGGCGCATTTAAACAGCGTCCGCATGAACCGCCGCCCGCGCGGGGCTTTTAATTGACAATGTTGCATCCAGATGAAGGCTCCGAGGCTCCGGGGAGGATCCTATGGGCCCGAGCCAAAGCCTCAGGCGTCAACAGGCTTGTGTTGTTATGTGTGGTCTGTGTGGCAGATATACGGCTCATAAATGATGACAAAAGTCAATGGGAGTGTGCGCTATGGCAGCTTCATCTGCATAGCTGTTTACATGGCAACTCAAGTTGTGTCCGTCTATTAAGGAGAATCAATTCACTGTAGACTATTACTACAGCCTTTTATTGTTTCCTTCTAGTTTTAATTATAATTCTGGTTGACCAAAAAGATTGAATGTGCACATTCCCTGTTCTGTATATCTGAGAGCAAAGTGAGTGTGACTATTGACATTTACACATGGTCCAGTAAAAGGCTACTTTATATTTAATGGTTTAGCCTATTTATGTATTTATTTATTTGTTTATTTATTTACTGTATTGTATTTAATGTTTAATATTTGGATATTAAATAACTTTTGAGGTTTCAAAGTTATTTCTGTTTGCACATTATATTTCACTCTATGGGGGTGTATGTCCCATTGAGAGGAGCAGGTTGGGACCATATACCTGCACACACATTACACTTAAATAAAAGCCTGAGTCTGATGGAGAGCAGAGGAATGCAGGTCAGCGCCACTGGAGAGCGGACATTAAGTTAACACAGATGTGCATTTGACTCCTATAGTATTTTTCATAGTCAGACCAGACGCCTCATGTCCACTGTACGTGTGCTGATTCAGATTTACTTAACCCCGACTCTACAACTCTCTGAACAAATAAGCAACTAGTCACATGGATGTTGAGACTGGGTAATGATTTGACAGGCCTGGAATCAAGACTTTCTAAGAACAACATAGATAGACAATGTTTATATGAATCTACATATTTTTGGGATGAATTTTGGTTTTAGAATTGACAGTGGGTATCTCATATGAGAAGGTGAACTTGTAACATGTAACCATGATATCAAAAAACATGGATAATTGTTTGAGGAGAATGCCATAGCTGTAAGGAAATCAAAGTAATAGAAATTGATTGATCTGAGGTGGCACAAAAGGATTTATCCATTCTTTATTTGAAGTTATAAAACAAAAATGACAATAAAATAGTCACATATTCTAATCATCATTGAAGGACAACATGACAATGATAAAAAGTGAAATTATAAAGATGCACTGTGCAACTTTTCTGGTTAAGGTTACATCTTATTACTGTGCCTGGATTAGGATTGCAGGGAATGTTCCATACTATGGTATTAAATTTATATATCAAATATTTATTCAATAAATATTTACTCATAACTTGGCCTGGTGGCATTCTTGTTTCCATGGAGATAGAAAAGTTGAATGATGTGAAACATTCAGGCAAAAATATAAATAAATAAACTACTTACTATGAAGACCAACAAGTACCGGACGCTCTACCAGAAAAGTTTTGGAGAAAAACATTTATCAATTAAAACAAGATAAATTCCTGTTCTATTTAAGTGACTCCTAGCTGCACTTTAAAATAATTCATAAATATATTTTTATTGATGATAATTATAGACTACATTTATTTGGACAAGTTAACTGCATTTCTGAATGGTGATTGTCAGTATAATGCTTTACATTGTGCAAGCTTGGTCCCATCTCGGCGCTCAGTTCTGGAGTTTGAACAAAGCTTTCTGCGTATTGGCCCACAATAATGGCTGATCTAAATATTGCCGTAAGCCTCAGCACATTTATGAAAAACAGCTGAGTAGTTGTCATAAACCCAAACGCCAACAGACACTCCTCCCTCGACAGGAACGTCAAGCATCCTGTGATATGTAAAACAATTTTCACAGGGCACGAAAACCAAAACATGACCCCTGAGCGCTCTGGCAGGACTTTAAAAGAGTTCTGTCAAAATGAGAGAGACATATTAAAGGTGAAGTCATCAACCATCGGTAACATGGAGTGTGCATGTTACAATCAGTGACAGAGACACTTGTGGTTGTATGAATGAAGAAAGGTATTGAATGATGGAGGTAAAACTAGATACGCTGATACAACTTGTTATGCTAGTTGTTGTGTCATATGTGTACAATTCTGATAGTAAATCAAAAATGTTTAACTGAAACAGGTTAATAGAATTCATAGTGAAATGTTACTTGTGGACAGTGGATTTTTTTATTTATGCATTTTTATAGTTGAAAAATAGAAAATGAGAATCTTTTTTTAAAAATAATTGCTACACTACACAACAAACCAGTGGACGAAGATAGGACGTAGATGATAACTGAACATTTGAGAGCACTCAAGCCTCAAATGCAGGACAAGAAGACATCCATTCACACATGAATGAACTGAAACAGAACCTACTGTACTTTTGATTGAGAGAAAGCTTTATAAATAGGCCCTTTAAAAACAACATTTGACATGCACGGCCATGTAAGATTAAAACTGTGAATGAATAAGCATGATAGATATAAGAAAAAGATGTGTGTGTATTGTATTCAGTATTTTGTGCAGGTGATCTGTTCGGCACACGCTCATTGACAGGAGACAGGTACCTGACAGCGGTGAGGTCATGCATCAGGAGGAGCTGAGGCAGATTTGTGCTTTCCCAGAGAATGTGCATTCCTGTGTGATCCGCTGGCATAGATCTCTCCTCCAAAACATCTGGGATCCTCCCGTCCACACGATTCTCCGAGCAAACTACAGACAAAACCTGGGCGAAGGCTAAGAGCAGAGGAAGAGCAGAGGCCAAGACCAAAACATTTGTCCCAATCAGCAGTCAGTGTACAGGGGGTGAACTGTGGAGGTTAAAGCAACACTGTGTAACTTTCTGTACTTTGTTCAGTCAAATGAACACAACACAATTTAGGGGAAAACACAACAATTAATCTAAAACAGCTTGACAAAAGATGCTTGGTCCAGTGACTTCCTGTTCAAAACTGGAGAATTTATAGGCCCCCTCAAAGTGACATTTCACAACAGCAAGCAACAGATTTTCATGTGTTTGTGAAAAACTCTACATGATCTGCCGTCTGCACTTTGTGATAGTTGCAAGTGAGTACAGAGCAGTGGGCAGAGATAGGGGATAGGTTAAATGAATGAATTACTGAGCACTCAACCCTTGGATGCAGGACAATTCAGGATTACTCCAGTTACAACTGGAACAAGAGCACAGCATGGCCGGTAGAGTTATTTTTTACATTCCAAATAAAGACCAAATAGTGCTACTTTAATATCCACTGGCTTTATCTAGTGTAGTGTGATAACTTCTCAGGTTATTTTCAAAGACAATAGAGTAAGAGATGTATTTAAAAAGATAAAATGAACACTTTTGGAGTAGTTTGCTGTCTGTGATCGTGGGAGTACAGTTTTGGGATGCACATTCTCCACCACTCTGTTTAAAAGCATTCCCATTCCCTATTTAGTGTTTGGTCATTAACCCTTCCCCAGGTTACTAATTTATAGTGTTCCTTTTATTTGGCTTCACTTGACCCTCCCCGTCCTCTTCCATAAAAAACGAGAGGGTGCCCTGCCGCTTTACAACCAGTTAAATTACACTTTGATGTTTTCTCTCTGTTTTCAGCGGTGATTAAATTGCTGACCCTAGTAAACATATGACCTGGACTAACTGAAGAGGTCTGCGTCTTGTCAAAAAGTAACTCTGGCAAATTACTGGATAAGCCTGTGATGTTTCTGTACATTTGCATCGCTAATGAACAGGGCTGGAGAATAGCAATCGCGAAAAAACATTCCTCGAAGTGCCAAGAACCTCGAGCTGGAGCCGGTGCAGTGGAATCTTGGCTGCCATAAGAAAGCAGTGTGTTGAAAACTGCAGAAAAGACAGCTCAGCATGCGGCAATGAGAGCAGATATTTGTGGTGTAGGAACTAGTGGTTAGCGTGACAGCAAAATGGGGAATTTAGAAAACAGGCATTAAGGTTATACAGCTCTAATCAGTGTCAGCTATAGTTTAAAGGTGCACTACACAACTTTTCTGGTGGTGGTGGTGGTGGGGGGGGTGGGCTAGCTGCTTGTATCCATGGAGATTTTATTACTTTGTCTGGAATGTTCCAAAGACTGGCATTAAATCTATTTATTTAGCTTTTTTTTCCCCCTAACAGGTGTTTCAATTGCTAAAAATAACAAAAAAACATGCAATCTTATTCTGAGTAGTGTCTCCTCCACAGATCTGGCCTGTAATGTAACATGGTAGTGTCACCTTCTTGTCTTCATGGAGATTGACAAGTTTAATACTATACTGTGGAGCATTCAAATCAAATCAAAAGCATCTTTCTCTCCACTCAAAAAGTTAAACAGTCTACATTTAAGTGCTCTTGACACAGTCTTGCATGAACATTTTTGCATTCCCTTTATTTTCTGGCCCCAGCTGTAGCCTTTGCCTTACAGGAAATGTGTCTTGCTCAAGGGCATGCTATAATCTCTTATGCTGATGCAAATGCAGGCAGAAACAAACCATGACCCATCTCGATGCTTTGCATTGCAGTGGACGGTGCTGGTGCCCAGGGCGAAACATATTGAGCAGAGGTGGAGGATACAGGGGTGGAGGAGGAGGGGAGGTGGGTGGAAGAGAGAGGGGGCTGCTGATGTCAGAACATCTGTCCCAGTGCAGACTGTAAGAGGCTCTGACAGGTGGGCCACAGCGGCACAGGGTCACGACCTCCAGCTGCTGATCTGTGTGGGTCCATTAGAGTCCTGCTTTGGGACAGGGGCCAGAAGGGTAACACACTGCCAAAATCTGCATGTATCTCCATTGGTTAAAGTTACATTTCTGAATATTATTTGCAGATATTTTATGCAGAGTGATTTGTGTTGGTGACTGTTAACCTGATTGTCCACAAAACAACTGTTCAATACTGATAATGAAGACATTGCAAAACATTCAAATGAAACATTTTAGAAGTAAAACTGCACTGTGTAATTTTTCTGGTGGCTGGTGCGCAACCTTTTTTTCTCCATGGAGATGTGTTTGCTTTACGAAGAATGTTCCACAGTATGGTATTAAACATATCTATTTTTGTTTGTTCAAACTGCAGTGAAATACCTTGAATAACAGGCATTCTTTATGTGAGTGGGCTTACCTCTCCATAGATCTGACCTGTTACTTGGCCAGGTGGTGTCATCTGCTTGTCTGTGTGGAGTTAGATAAATTTAAGACCATATTGTGGAACATTCCAGGCAAAGATGGACCATTCACCATAAATTTATAGTGCACTGTGTGTGGCTAATGTCGCTGGATGGACGATTTGTAAAACACATTATGATACGAATACTTGCCAATTGACAACACATTAAAATTTCCATTGCCCCAGCTATGTGCTCAGCTTTTTGCAGTAAAGGTCCCCTCTTTAACCTATAATGCCTGGTCTCTGTTCTGTTAGCAGCAGCCATCCCAGAGCCCGGCAGCTTATTTATCCACTCCACTGTTTGTTTATCAAAGCAGAAGGGACAGCTCTCCTCCTCTCACACAAAGCCTATAGCCTGCACGCGCTGACAGCAGCACACAGCTAGATTTGTCACAGAGCGGACACCCCCAAATTGAAGGTGACAATCTCAATGTTGTTTACACGAGGGGGCACAGACATACACAGCCCCACGTACAGGTCTGGAGGGATTGGGTTACAGGTGGAGAGATGGAGAGTATAGTGCAGGCAGCAGGGAGAGTGGCAGCAGTGTGAGGGTTGTGGCTCAGGTCAGATAGATGTGGAGTGACAGGTCTTTCAAACAGAGTGAGCTGAGCGTATAACATAAGGCTTTGAACAGTCAGGAAAACATTAAGGTGCTGTGGGCTTCTATAGGGACTGTCGTGTTGAGTGGATGTTGATGCGGAGCAGGGATTTAAGGTTATCGGCATGATTTTGTGCAACTACTTGAGTGATTTAAGTAAAAATAATTAAGTTGTCTGAAGTTTTACAAAGGCCAACATGATACTGAATTGTAGAGTATACTTGAGTAGACAAATGAGTGTGGTGCAATAATGGATTGGAAACCTGAAGAAATAAAGTGATGTTGTATTTGTGCATTTGTATGAATGGCTCATGACATGATTGATATATTGACTGACTGAGACAGATTACTTTTTAAATATAAAAGACAATATAAGAGTAAATCTCAAAGCTCCATTGTGATTTTTAAGGCCCAAACTTCTACACCTAATGCAACTGCTTAAATTGTCCATGCCATGCAGTTTAGCATTTTGACTACAGTGTTTGTTTTCAGCTTCATACAAACTGCTTTTTATATATATAAAAACATAAAGTCTGAGGAACACATATATGCCAGAGGTGGTTTATTAAAAGTCTGAATAATGCATATGACCTTTAAAATGCTTCAGTAATGACTATGTGTGATCTCTAGGCAAAGACAGCAGTGGTCTTGGCGAGTCTGACCTGCCCCCCAGCGTGGAGGCGTCTGGGATGGAGAGCAGCTACATGACCCTGAAGGACTCTGTGAAAGGCCCCGGAGAGAGGCCCGGCTCAGACCTGTCCAGCCCTTTGGACAAGAGCGAAGCGGAGAGCAACAAAGGCAAGAAGAGACGCAACCGCACCACGTTCACCAGCTACCAGCTGGAGGAGCTCGAGAAGGTTTTCCAGAAAACTCACTACCCAGATGTGTATGCGCGGGAGCAGCTGGCTCTGAGGACAGACCTGACAGAAGCCCGAGTGCAGGTATGTTTGGGAGTTTTGACAATTACACTGAACTTATTTGTGTTCATTTGTGAGCATGTTGAAACTCTACTCATAAATGTTCCATTCTTTTAAAGGGGCTGAAACAGATTTTTAATATATTTTTATATAATAAAGTAAAAAAAAAGTAGTGCTGGGTCATGGTTAGCATGGTAGTTATTTTTAGCAGCAGTATGATCCCAGAGCTCTTCTATGTAAACTATTGGCAAAGAAAAATTAGGATGCTGTTTACTTGAACCATTAACATTAATAATATTGATTAAAAATAACATTTTGGGACACTGGGAGAAAGTTGAAAATAAATCATATCTTTTAGAGTAGAGAAATGAATAATGTACTATATTATATTAGTACTAGGTACTAATAGTACTATAACATACTATACATTTGCTCAAAGATGCACTATTAATAAACCTTACCTCATGGTCACTATTTGCAGATGTAGGCACAGCCAAATCAGCTGCTGTAGTCACCTGGAGAGAAGATAGAGACCGTTATAAAAAGATTTATAATTCATAAATTGATAACATGAAGTTTTGTGTATAACATATGCCTACCTCCTTACGCCATGGCCAGTCAGCAGCACCATATTTACATGTAATTTCTTCACCCAGAGTAATGTCTTTCAGAGCAAAGAGACAAAGGACCTCATAAGGAATCATTTTGCCAAAAAACAGTTTAAAGGCAAATAGCTTTGCTTTTTTAAGCAACCACTTGTTCATAAAAGATCAAATTTGTTTTATAGTCTGTAATTAAATGCAACACCCAGAGACCCTCCAGATTTAGATCAAGGATAATGGCCAAGAGTACCTCGAATAAACCTGGTAATGTTTATTTAGATGTTTTAGATAAAATACATACATTCCAATGTTTTGGAAAGTTACGTAACCAACCAACACATCCAAATATTTAGTTACTGACTTTTAGACACGTCATGCTTTCTGCCCATTACAGCAACTCCGGAACCTGGGCCCACTCAAACTCATATTGAATTTGCAGAAATAAGATTCAAAAGTACGATTAGTAAAACTTCAGCTTGCAGTGTGAGCGCAGCCTGGTTGCATGTGTACAGGCTCTTGGGGTCCTGACGCACAGGGAGAGCTGGTCTGGCACACTGTCAGTAAACTCTGGGAACAGCACATAACAGATCCCATTGTTCACCATCTCCTCTGCTCACCAGTTGTGGATGGGAGTGGGAATGTTGGGAATACATGCTGCAGGCTCTATCAAAAGGTCAAAGTTCAAGGGTTTCTCTCCAGCGCCGCCATGTTGAAACTACACCACAGCATGCACCACTCCATAGAGGGGAAAAAAAAAAAAAAACACATGGAAAAAAAAAAGAAAGACAAGCCATCGAGGCTGTTTGCGAGGATATAAAAAACACTTTGACATGCCAGCTCCAATTTCCAGGGCCAGTTGGAGACATAGTCAGGGACAGCCAACCTGGTCTGTGCTTTGTGGTGGTACAGTAAAATAAGTGCATTCATGTTGCCTTCACACAGCCCTATTCCCAGATGAATATAATTACCTTCTTCATATGACAGCCACACTATGTTGAGTCACTGTGTGGTTTGACCCATCGTTTTAAAATCATAGTCCAAAAATATGCACGCAATCAAGACTAAAGCCCCCAATTTCGACTGAAGGTCCATCACGACAAAGTCCAGGGATGTGCAATTGTAGATGGGGCACTCTGAGCTTGGCAGGAGATCTTAAAAACTCTTTTGAACTCACAAACAACGGGATCCTGTGGTACAGATGTGTTCTCCCAAATGCCAGTGTCAAGGTCTTGCAGTTTCAGTCTGAGTTTTATGATAAATGTCTTCATAAAGTCGCTACAGTTTGACGTAATCACTTCTGCGGTGACTGGTTTATTAAGTTCTATTAGCCCTCAGACTTGAACCTGGAGTTTTGGGGCTTTTTTTATGGAGAGCCAGTCTATCAATCGGGCTGGTCCTGGATGACAGCGATGAGGTGAGATGGTTGGACTTCAAAGCCACATTTCAGAGTGGTGCACTCTGAACTCCCTCGCTCCCTCCCGGTCTCCTGGGCGACCAGCTCCGGAGCATAAATAAAGCTCTTTAATGACCTGTAAGCTGCCTTCTGCTGTCAACGTCTTTAGCAATTACTGTATGGACGCCTCCAAACTCCAAATGCACCCAACTTGAGTATGTCTTGAAGTAACAAATTTGTTGTTTATTTTGGAAAGTCAGAAGGAAAAAATCTGTTAAAGGTGCACTATGTAATTTTTCTGGTGGATGATCTGCCACCTGTTTCTCTCCCTAGAGACGTTAATGCTCTGCCTAGAATATTTCGCACAATCATGTCATTAAATCTAAAAAAAGGTGAAGCTGGGCCAAGTTACAAGTCAGATCTGTGGAGAGACTTGTGTGCTCACAGTATGAATGCATTTTTATTTTTAGAAATAAAACTGAATAAATACAAGATAAGTTGAATGCCATACTGTCAAACATTCCACGCAAAGCAATAACATCTCCACAGAGATAAAAATGACATATTGCACCTTTAATTGGGAATGTTGCAAGGCTAGAGCTTCCCGTTAAAGAGCTGAGAAGTTTATAGAGTCTCCAATTCCCCCTTGGAGACATGGTGCAACAAAGGACACATCTGACTTCATAATGTTCCTGAATGATCTTTATGCCAAAGTATTCAGCCTGGTCTCAGTCGCATTGGCTTTTCAGTGTGAAACATGATACACTGCAGTGATAAGCTAGCAGCAGTGCACATGCTTTGTTTATGTTGTGGACTGTGGTCATTTTAATTGTTTGTTTATTGACTCTGAGCCTCCAGTAAGTATTTGAGATCAGACAAAGCATTTAGCATCGACTAACTTTCAGATTACAGCCATGACGTTGTACATGACAGTGTTGAGAGTGTCTGGTGTGTGTATGAAGCTGGTTGGTCACTCTCGTCTGCACGCCTTTGGAGAGGTCAGGAGGGTTAGCCACGGAAAGCTAAGGGCTTAGGCGTCAGGAAATTAAACATGAAATGAAAACAAGCTCCGGTTTGAACATTCTCCCATCTCACTTTCCAATATCCCCACTTCCCCCGAGTGACTTAAAAGGAGGAGGCGGCGGGAGACATGGCGCTGGGGTCAGGACAGCGAGAGAGGGGGGGTGTGTCACATCAAAATAAAGAAATGAGTTATTTGTCATAATAAAAAATGATTGAAGCTATTGTATAAACAAGACAACTCGTGCTTTTTGGGGTATTTAGTATTTAATGGTAACATAAATCATACATACAAATTTGTTAATTGTAAACTTCAATATTGATCTAAAATGGCTTACTTACATTTTACTACAGCAGATTTTCGTTAAAGTGCACTCTACAACTTTTCTAGTGGACTTGTCTCCATGGACATGTAATTGCTTTGACTGGAATGGGCCATGTTATGACATTAAACATCTATTTATTCATTACGGGTATTTATATTGCTCAAAAAATACAATAATTCTGTGAATAGGGGTGACTTTCCACTGATCTGAATTGTAATGTAGCTTAGTGCTGCAACCCGTATAAATATATATATATATATATATATATATATATATATATATATATATATATATATATATATATATATATATATATATATATATATATATATATATATATATATATATATATATATATATATATATATATATATATATGTATATATATGTATATATATGTATATATATATATATATATATATATATATATATATATATATATATATATATATATATATATATATATATATATATATATATATATATATATATATATATATATATATATAGTCTGCTGTACAAAAGTTACAAAAGTTTTCTCTGTTTTTTCCTGTACTGGGTCTCTTGAGATTATTTAAAAACCTATGATGTGGAGAGGACCAAAGAAGGACCAGAGAGAGGAGACATGCTGAATCTTAAACAATAATAGAGTGTAATCCTGTGGGGCCAACTACACAAGCTGGGACCCCTTTAAAACATATGATATAATGCAAAGGCCAGCGACCCCTCACCTTGACATTGGGGTTGAGTCACAAACTTGAGTATCAGTTTACGCTCTGTGAGGCTGTCCTGTCGCCGCTGAAGGAGGAATGTGGAGAAAGACGACATCTTTGCGTCAGCTTTTCCAAAAACATGATGCCAGAAAGGCCGTATATGGGCTTAACGCTGGAGAATTTTGGATGGGGCTTTTCGGCTTGATAAGACTTGACAATCACACAAAACAACACACGTTTGTAGGTTCATGGTTGAAGTCTCGAGGTTACTTTATTTGTACCAGTAAAAACTGTATGTCACCTTTTTCAATTTCATTATTGGATGGATAAGCTGACCTATTTACGGGGACATATAATGCAAAATCTACTTTTAAGAGGTTTTAACCATGTTGTAATTGTTGTCATTAACCTGAATCCAATTTTATTTTAAGCGTGACTCATATACATTTAAGATGCAGTTGCTATGAAAATTCCCATTTTCCAATACCCCACACACTGCTCTGTACTTACTTCACTCTCCTTTTAGTTTTTTATTTGTTTGTTTGTTGGTTGTTTTTTCTTAATCTTGCTAATAAAAAAGAAGCACTATGTTGTGAACTGCAGCTATTTGCGCTATAGTCTGAAAAAAGTTCAGAGTAAATCAGCACTGTAGTTTTCAAATGGATGTTAGCAGAACAGTTTCTTTTACAGAGTCATATAAGATAAATATTGTGATTTAAAATGTCCAAAGGGGTGTCATAGATGATTATGTCTTCATTGGAATATACACATTTATTTAACAAAAATATTTAGATGGAAAAACTGCAAAATTCCTCATGACATCTCTCCATATATCAATATAAAAGACATATTAGAGCCCACCAATCAGATTCACTCCAATATCATGATAAAAAGGCTTAAAACTAGCACAAGGGAATTATATCCAATAAATAAAAGAAATAAAAATAACTTAAAAGATTAAAAAATGCAATTGTAAGTAGATCTGTTTCAATTTGGAATATGTCACTTTTGCACTATCAGCCATTTCTTTTGTTCAGATTTGACTAACAAACGAACATACCATTTGTTGAGAAATAGCTTGAAATGGAGGTTCCAGTTCTTCAAGTGAATTTAAATTACAACCATTAAAGTTCATTGTGTTGAAGTCTCCCGGGGATTTGAAGAGGTTGACTGAGGGGAAATTGCATGTGAGGGATTGAGAAAACCACAGGCTGATTGAGGCTGGGAATCAACTCTGGATCCAAGTACAGACTCAGAGATGACAGCGCAGGGCTTTGAAGATGTCTCTCTTTTTCAGTCTCTTCTCTCTGTCTCTCTCTCTCTTTCTCTTCTCTCTCTCTGTCTCTCCCTCTCTCCCTCCCTCCTACTCTCATGCTCTCTAGGGATGGAGAGAATCAGAAGTAAATAGAAACATAAAGTGACTCATTGTTGCCCCTCTGCACAATGTGAAATGTTGTAAAAAATAAATACATAAATAAATAAAAACAACTGCAAATAAAAACAGACAAAATATAATCGTATCTAAAATTATTTGATAGGCAAAAACAAGATATAAAATTATAATTGACATTGTCCCAAATTGTTCATGCTCGATGTTGCAGCTGGATGTTCAAGCTGGATGTTGCATTTTTTAAATAAAAAAACAAAACAAAAAGACATTACTGGGGGTAAAAAATATTGTGCAAAATGTGAATAGAAAAGCCATAGTTAGAACTGTCAGAACAGCTTTCTGTGTGCTGCAGTGAGAGAGAGAAGTGAGATGAAGGGCCTGCACTTGGTCTGTCAGCAGGTGTGGAGTGCACCCGTTTTCTGTGAAGTAGCGTGTCCAACTGGATTTGCAGACATTAAATATACCATCAACTTCAGAATTCATATTACTCATATATGTAAACAAATACAAACCACAAAGACTAAATGGCAGAAAGAGATTTTTTTTGCTCAAAATCTGAGCTTTAGTACTTCATTTTCATTGATAATTTGAGGGATTCCCCTTGGACCCTGCTGTGCATACATGTGGGGGAGAGCACGCCCCTCTGTAGTGATTTATGGACAGCTACAGACCCAGATGTGGATCTCTCGGCACTGGCGGCCTAAAGGGAAGCAGACCCTGAGATTCAAAGGGAGGAGCACAGGGAGACTACACTTTAAAGGCACGTCAAGTCTTAACCTGGACTTTTATCTCCGCCACTATTTATTCTCATGCTCTTCTTTTTATGAGCCACAGTTTGTCTCTATGGTAACACTTAACTGGACTGCTTGTGACACAACTGCCATAATATTGTCAGTGGTTATTTTACATGTTCAAATCTGATCATTACAGGATTTCTGGAGTTATCAGATTTTTTTCTGTTAAATGTTTTGTTTTGTTTTTAAACTGAAATATCATAAGTAGAAGTAACAAACAAACAAAAATAGATAGATACTTTATTGATCCCGAAGGAAAATGAAAGTTTGGCAGCAGTATAGAAACAAATATAACAACATAGGAATTTTAAGTGAACAGTCCATTCTCTTGTATTCATTGTAAAACAGTGAGGATTCAAAAGACAAGGAATCGTAATTCTTTTTGACAAGCTTTAACAAAAGAAAAAAAAAAAGGAATGGGCAAACTGCTGTAGCAATGGGGGAAAAAAATGAGATAGATTGAAAAAACTGATTCAAAAGACAAACAACTCAAAAGTTCCATATCTGAAATTTGACTGTTGAAATGTCATGTTAACAGATTCTGATGTAATCTGATTTATGATCTGACAAAGAAAACTGCGTAAAAAATGAAAGATAAGTTGTTGATTGAAAGAGCCTTGAAAAAGATTCGTTGGAATTTGCTGTGCTTTCTGTGCTTTGAGTTGCAAATATAACATTTGCTCTAAAAATCCAAATTGTTTAACTGGCATATGTCACCAGGTATTTTTGAAGACCAGATTTATTTTGTGCATGTAATCCCACCCAATCCCAATCAGATCTAAATATTGGGTTATCAGATTCTTCTAGTTCATATTTTTTCAGTGACCATGTAAAAGTACTCACTCATAGATGCTGTTATGTCTCTGCAGGTGTGGTTTCAGAATCGCAGAGCCAAATGGAGGAAGAGAGAGAGGTTTGGTCAGATGCAGCAGGTCCGCACACACTTCTCTACAGCCTATGAACTGCCCCTACTCGCCCGGCCCGAGAACTACGCACAGGTATCAGCAAATACCTTTACGGTAAATTCTTGACCACAACTGTCCTCAATCCCATTTCCACCACAGCAGCAGAAACATCAGCCCCCTCAGACTCTCAGACTCATTAAGGAAAGAACATTTCTTAATAAATAAGTCTTCATATTCGTTATTATACTGCCAACATCGCTAACTTACCACAGTGGTAGTCTCATAGCATAACTGTCATTACACAAACTCATTTTTTCAAGGTTTTCGGGAAAATACAAAAATAAACCGGTTATGTCATTAAAATGACTCAAACAAACCAAGTCCAAGGAACAAGTCTTATTATATGTTTCATGGACTAATGTAATACAATTTGGCATAAAACTACAATAAAATAAAACACATTTTCAGGTTGACTAAAACTATTGACAGGTTGACTTCACTGGCATGGAATTGTTGTCCTCTAAAACTAGACTGAAACAACAACATGACAACAACTAATAATTATCTGAATACATTTTAAAGGTGCACTATGTAACTCTGGTGAGGTGTTCCATGGAGACAAATGTGTTTAATACCAGACTGTGAAACATTAAAGGCAAAGCAGTGACATCTCCATGGAAACAAGAAGGTCGCAGACCACCTGACACACCACCCGACACCAGAAAAGTTTAACCAAAAATCATTTCAGTCAAAAGCATAGGGCTAAAAACTTAAACAATGCAACCACTCTCAACGTAAACATCATTGGTTGAGCATTCTGATCCACTGGCTCACAGGTTGGCAATGTGATTCCAGCTCCCACAGATGATTACTGTCATTGTGCCATTGTGACAATACACTTAACCCACCCACCTTGCCCCCTGTGTCTGTGTAGCCTGGTGTACGAATGTGTGTGTGAATGGGTGAGTGGTCCCTTGATGTAAAGTTCTTTGCTGTATAAAAATTTTTAGCATTTAACATTTACCAAAACTTGACAAAGATCATTGATCAGAGATGTTACATAGATTTACAGAGTCTTTCTGATCTTCTCCCTCAGATCCAGAACCCCTCATGGATCAGCAGCACCAGCGCCGCCTCCCCTGTACCTGGGTGTGTGGTGCCCTGTGACACTGTCCCGTCCTGCATGCCCCCGCACCCACATGCCCCGAGCAGCGTGTCTGACTTCCTGGGGGTCCCGAGCCCCGGCAGCAGTCACATGGGACAGACGCACATGGGCAGCCTGTTCGGTGGGCCCGCCATGACCGGAGGCATCAACGGTTATGATCTCAATGTCGACCCTGATCGGAAGTCGTCGAGTATAGCCGCACTGAGAATGAAGGCCAAGGAGCACAGTGCTGCCATCTCCTGGGCAACATGATGCCCTGGGGCAGATCATCAAGTCAGACCCTCTTCCAAACCCCCTTCTGAAATGTGGGGAGTTTTCTGAGCACACTAAAGATAACCCAAAAGGAGATAGAGAAGGCCATTGCAAGTCTAGATAACAGCTGTGATGGTGACATTCAACAGATGAGAGACTTCAGATTCTTCATCTCTCAGGTCTCACTGAACTTTTGTGACTACATAACTGACTGATAAACTACAGTGTTACGTACAGTTAAATAAGCAGTATTATCAGTTTACACACTCTTTTGTAAGGTTGGATATGTGTTACCTTACAGAAACTTGCCATATTTCATTGTTTACTAACCTTGGATTGTCACAGCGTTTGAGTTTTCAAGCTCACAAGAATCCATCTACACAACTTTTGGTCTGGAGCAGATAGTATATATTTTCTGACAAAAAACATTTCCTAACTACTTGCTAACAAGATTCCAAGCTAAGTCCCGCCTCTTCCCGAACGATTGACAGGGGCCAGTCTAGATTGTTAATGGATAGAACTCAATTCAGAGATCTACTTATGTCCAGTGTCATTGTTTACAAGATGCTTCGCACATAATTCACCTTTTCAATATTGTTGCCCTCTTCTCTCCAGCAATGGTATTTTGCTGTATATACACACACATGTGAAACTGCTTTTTTGGGACAACAGCCAAAGCAGCAACGCCTTCCGTCTCCCCAGCTAATTCCCCTGGATTCAAACTCAAATCAGAATACACTAACCCAAAGTTATCAGTTCTATATAATTTCTATATTTTTTTAAGGAGTGCCATGTGATTTTTTTGCAAGGTCTAATAACTTTACCTGCATGTACCATTTATACAACCCGTGGAAGCAAGTAATGTGATCTTAGCCCCGTGGAGTCTATGGTCTGTCCCGGTTGAGTGGGCGATGGGTGATGCATTGGCAGTGATTTCAACCCACTGTGTCACTTCCTCCCCCAGGTTATACCCCCAGGTTGTACCCCCTCAAGTCCCCCCTTCGTAGACCATATGGATTCAGGTTACAGGAAATACCCGTCTTCTCCAATATACGAAGCACAGCAGCAGCCTTCAACACCAGTGCACCTCAGTTGCCGTAATCAGCCACCAATGGGAATAGACACACTTGGTTAAGTTCAAAGTGGACCGTACGCCCCGCAAATGTATGAACACGAGGGACATGGCGAGAACAGACTGCAGTCATCAATTTAAGCTGAGATGGTTTTAGCTAGAGCCTGTCGAATGCCAGAGACCACAGACCAAATCAGTGGTTTTAAAATGAGGTAATGAGATGACTATAGGGGGGGGAATGTGGAGAGGCTGTCCAGTGATTGCAAGAGGGTCGCAGTTTGATAGCCCTGAGAAATGGATCTGTCAACATAACTGGACGGCAAGCCATGATTAAAATTCATCAATCTTTTGGGTTTGATAAGACTGGGTTTGGGTTTGGGTACGTTTTGAGTGTTGGAAAGTTGGCCAGTGGTCCAAAAACATCAGATTTGTTTTGAAAATTACAGCAAGTTAATTTGATTGAATTTTAGTTCTATGATTTTGGTAATGATTAACACCTCAAGCCATTTAAGAATCTCAAGTGACCAAATGTTTCAGCAGCAAGCAGATTGTTATAACAGTGATGTGACCTCACCATTTACAGTATTGTGCAAATTAGGTGTGAAAAGTAATTCCCAGATGGGTTAAGGTCAAGGATAACAGGGCTTATTTTTATATCTCTGAATACTAACAAAATTAAACATTTGTAAACCAAACTTTACAACACAGTAATACCATATATAATGTGAAATGATGTTCATTACACTTACTAATTAACACCCAGGATAATTGTTCATGGAAATACCAATCCAATGAATTGATTCTAACCCAGTATGAAGACTATACATGTGCTTTCACCCACACTGAAATTGCAACTAAATCTTGACTAGAGGAGGAATAAACCAGGACAAAACTAGGACTAAAACAGACTATATCAAGTGTGAATACATCCTAAATATTTTCTTTGTCATAATATGTAAGAAAAATATACATAAAAAATCCTATTCAAAGCATTTAGATAGAGAGACCTAATTTCTTCTTTTTTTTCCCCCCACCATTGGACCTTTGCACAGTACTGTAAACTTAATAAATGATCATAGTGAAAGACTGGTGGGCGATCCCAATGTCCAATCTCCCAACAGGATGTGGCCTAAATTCATGTATGTTTGTGTTTTGGAGTGCTGCCTGTTGCTCTGGTGCAGCTCTGTCCATTTTGATACTACTGAAATGAAGCAGTTATGATGTTGTATTATGAACTATAGCTGATACTGTTGTTTTACTTGTACATATTTTTGCTCATCTGTCAAATAATGGACTTCTGGAAACAAGCCATTTAAGTATTATATCCAGGGTTAACTCTGACAGTGTTAAATGCTTTTCTAACTCTCCTATGCAGCTTTTTTTAGGTTAACTTTTCTAATCTTTTTCTAAACCATATTGTGCATTTTCACAAGGTGCCTTGCTGTAAATTATTGAGTGTATAAATTCCAGTGGGACAATGAAGTCTCCCATGAGGCCGTCCATATTAACACTGCAATGAACCATGACACATTCAAGATGAAGGACAATGTTGTAAAGAATTAACTTTTCTGATGGTGACTGTTTTGAAGTGAATATGAAATAAATAAATAAAATAATTTCTTGCGTTAAACGTCAAAAGTCTATTTTGTAGCATTGCATTGGGCAGTGGCACTGAACAATTTATCCTACATTATTTAAGAAGTTCTTTAAGTTTGGTTAGGACAAGAATATATAATTGAGTACAGTAAAGATACGTAACATTAAAAACAATATAGGTCTATGATTTGGTAGTATTATCTTCAATGTGCAGACCTTTATCAAGGCATTAAAAGCATATATTTTGTGTTTTGGTCAATTTAAGATCTTTGACTAATGAAGTTGGGTAGAACTACTGTCTTATAAAAGTGTTTCCTGATTTTAAGCCCAGTTTAGTCCTGATTGGTTTGGTTCTGTGCTAGTACTGGTTCAAATCTGCTCTAGACCATGTTGAGGAGCTTTTCTCTTTAAAAAGATTTATTTTTGTTTTAAATTGTTATTATATTGACAACAGTCCTCATTTTACAATTATTCTGAAAGTCATGGGTAATCTCAGTTCAATTTCAATTTATTTTCAATATGTGTGGTGTGTGCACGCCTTAAATATTAAATAACTGTAAACAACTCTCTATTTAAATGTAATGTCAAAGTATTTTTCATACACCAGTATAGACGTTTATGAGTTCAGCTGTTTATTTAATATTTTAATCACCAGGAAATACACTATTTATACTATAACTGTCTATGCGTATGTCATATGAAGGTGGAAATACATGATCAATTCTTCTTGGATCAGGAAGTGTGCAGTTAGCATGCTGTTGTTGTTGTTGTTAACATTAACATTGTGGCCTCTGAAAGTATCATTAATATATACTTATAATATACTTATAAACTCATCAAGGTGGATAATCAGTAATTAAAATGCTCTGAATGTATAAGGTAAGTGAGGAATAACTTTAGACCACTGCAAACCATTTACACTGAACTAGTTTTCCATGTTTTAGACAGTAAAATTCATGTACAGTGCCTTTAATGTGTTTGATCCCCAAGAAAAATATCATTCAAACTATAATTGTTTTGGAATCTTTTAACCCGATATGAAGGTGGAAATGCGTGAGCAATTCTTCTTGGATCAGGAAGTGTTCGGTCAGCCTGCTAGTTGTCATTATCATTAACATTCTGGCCTTTGAAAGTTGTGAAAAGTGCTTATAAACTCATCACAGTGAATAATTAGGATGCTCAGAATACATAAGAGGATTAACTTTAGAACACCGACTTTTGAGACAGAAATCAGGACAGTACCTTCAATATTTTGGATTGCCAAGAAAAATACAGTTTAAACTATAACCTGATATGAAGGTGGAAATATGTGATCCATTCTTCTTGGTCCCACCAGCAGCCTCCACCAGAAGGATGCTCCTGTCGGCCATTAGACCAGAGTTAAGCCTAATAGTTTGAATGGGCCTTAAATATCTCCAGGTGGTCTTTGTAACTGCCTGGCCATAGTCCGCCCTGTAAGAAATCTGTCATGCAATACAGTACGCTACATTGTTTTGGACACATGTTCTTTGTTTGGGAGCTCAGTCATGCAACACATAATGGTCTGCAACAAAACATTTTCATAAGACATCCCAAATCCTCTTTAGAATAACAAAATGTCAACAGGGACAATATGATCCTCCGTGGTGGCACACAAGTTTAGCTCAACTCTGCAGAAAGCGCCTAGAAGGGGAAAAAACGACATATTTTTTGTTCCATTATTATTTTTCCTGTGAGAATATTTTGTATTACAAGTTGTGCAAGGATTTAACTGAAACAATGTGTACGCTTGAAAATTGGTTCTGTCTTATGGTCACCAACAGTTTGAACCAAATTTGACCTGTGTAACCCTAAATCTGAACATATAAGGAAAATTTGAAGAAATAAGAATGTTCCCACATTTCAAAGTAAGACACCTTATTTTGAATTTTAAAGATGCACTACGTAACTTTTGTGGTGAAGGGTCTGTTCCCTAGCCAGGCTGGCGCCACCTAGCACCTCCGCTCAATTTCATCTCTCTCCAGCGACTAGGTCAGGAATCAGAATACACTAGACGGTTTGCAAGAACCACAGAGGTGCGAGTCCGGGTGCCAGCCAAACAGCGAAGAGCCATACATTCTGTTTTGGCAATCCCCGAGATCGAGGATTTAAAACTAGAACAAAGAGAATGTTTGGTGAATTTTATCAAGGGGAAAGATGTTATTACCCTTCTTCCTATGGGATTTGGGAAAAGCTTCATATACCAGTTAGCCCCGTTAGCAGCGCATTACATACGTCTAAATACGACTAAATAGCAGCGACTGGTTAAATTAAAAAAGTACCTGCCTACCGTTGAGCGAACGAATCCTAATGC